TAAGAAGTGTTTGTCTTAACATTTTGGATTTTGGTCCAGGTTCACTTCTTGCGTTACTTGAATGGTCTGTATCATGATGATTTTTTTGCTGCCTTGGAGAATGTTCACCGCTATTTTGATTACAGGTATATCAGAACTCAAATTTCTTGATCAAATAATGTTGTAAAAGTTTCTTTATCAATTTGTGACCTAATTTTGAAATATTGAACAAAAATTTGAAATGGTGAGCTATGACTGCGCTTCGTGTACTCCTATGAAAGGAGATACTTGTTATAACAGGATGCATTACTACTCTTCATGGCTTTTCATGCATGTTCAATGGCATGCTCCTAGTCTTGGCTACCTTTATGAATATAAGTTTGTATTTTGGTGGGCTTAGGTTAAGCCATCAAATGAAAGCTTTAAAACTGTAATTTTATGTTAGTTGTGTTAACATTTATGTCCATTATTTTATCTCTTCTATGTGTTTAACTGTTTATAACAAACAAACTAATCCAATAAATATTGGCACAATAGCTCAGGGATTGAAGGATTTGATTTCGTTCCTCCTGCATCCGGTTGCAATAGCTTAGGAAGATATGAAATTGCCTTGCTTTGTTTAGGAATGATGCATTTCCATTTTGGGCACCCAAAGCAAGCTTTGGAGGTGAGCCCATGTTCCCTACTCTAATTATGAATCTTTCTGTCATTTATATTTTCCTTTGGTTTGAATATTCCTTTTTCTTGTTAAAATGTTCAGGTTTTGACCGAGGCAGTACATATTTCTCAACAGGTAATTTCCTTGGTTTACGTATTCACTTTTATCCTAAATCTAACATATACATTATGTCCGTAGGTATACTGTATCCAATGGTTTTCTATAACCTTTAGGATGACATGTATGCCTCTGAATTAAAAGGGCATCCTAGTATTATCCTTCCTTTACATATATGTTGTCTACAAGAACCTCATGATTTTCAACTTGTGCAGCAAAGTAACGATACATGTCTTGCTTACACCTTAGCGGCTATCTGCAATTTGTTGTCCGAAACTGGCATATCTAGTACAACTGGAATACTGGGCTCATCATATTCACCTTTGACCAGAATAGGCATTTCACTGTCTGTCCAGCAACAACTATTTGTTCTCTTGAGAGGGTCTCTGAAGAGAGCAGAAAATTTGAAGTTGAAGCGTTTAGTGGCATCCAATCATCTTGCGATGGCTAAATTTGATTTAACGGTCAGCATGAAATTGCAGTTTATTTTTACTGATTCCTAATGTAGACTATCTGTGTACTTCCCACCTCAGTAAAGACTGAAGGGTGTATTGTGAGTATCATGCTGCCCATAATGATGATAAAGCTATTTCTCATTGCATAATTTCATTTGCAGCATGTGCAAAGGCCTCTAGTTTCATTTGGACCCAAGGCTTCAATGAAGCTTAGAACAAACCCAGTTACTGTTTGCAAGGTAACGATGACCCTTTGAAGATATTTCAATGTTCTTTGATTTCCTGACATGTTAGATTGTTCAATTTCCTAACAATGCTCCCCCTTCCCCTTATGTTACATGTAATTCTTGCAGGAACTTAGATTGAGTTCTCAATTGATTAGTGAGTTTGGATTCGAAACTTCTTCAATGACAACTGATGGTGCTTTTAGTACTGCATGGCTTAAGAATTTACAGAAGCCAATGGATTCACAAGTCTTGTCTCAAGAAAGTGGAACAGGAAGCAATAATGCTTTCCAGTTCTGTGCACAACCAAGTTCAGTCCCTGCATCTGTGTTGCAGTTAATAGGCTCTTCATACTTACTTCGTGCCACTGCATGGGAAATATATGGCAGGTGATCTTTAGTAAAGGCCTGTGTTAGTGTTACTTTTTCTTTTATGCTAATTTGACTTCTACGGTTGACCGGATCAGTGTTTCCTGTTGGAAAAATCTGAAATTGTGTAGTTGATTGAGTGAGATGCCCCTTGCAGTTTTTATTTTCATTCATTTCTTAATAAAAAATAATATTGTAAATATGTTAACAATATAAACTAACAGTTATTTCATTTACTAAAACTTAAGGTTTTAGAAATAGTTATAACAAACAAAAATTAACATGATACCAGAGCTGGAGATTCTGAATGTGAATACTTGCATCTACTCTACAGCCTCACATTTTATATGGAATTTCACATCGATTTACTTTTTCAGAATTTTAAGATTCTCGATTTATTTTAAACAGTAAATTTATTTACTTTAATCCAAACTATTTCTGGGGCTATGATATCTTGCTTGTTTTGATACATTTTTCTTTTTATATGTCATCAGCTCCTCTCTTGCCAGATTTAATGCACTTGTTCATGCAACTTGTTTTCCTGATGTTTCAAGGTAATTTTTAACTGAAAGTATCACAAGATTTACATATTGTGTTTATATTCCTTTCCATTCTTATAACTTGAGCCTGACTATTTCGTGGATGTCCTCAGTTCATCTGACACAGCATTAGCATATCTGAAGCTCATCCAACATCTAGCCGTTTATAAAGGATACAAAGGTTAGATAAAATGCTTGAGTACCTAAAAAGAATATTGTTTTTTTCATAGTTGCTGCCATATTAATTTATGGTTCGAGTACTCTATCTCCCTCTCATGTTCATCACATAAACAAATGCTGTTCATCCTTGATGACTTGTATTTTTTTTTTCTCCTTGTTTAGAGGCTTTTGCTGCTCTTAAAATAGCTGCAGAGAAGTTTTTATCCATCTCAAAATCAAGAATTTTGTTATTGAAACTTCAGCTGCTCCATGAGCGTGCTTTACATAGGTAAGTTTACCATGTGCACTATTTCATGAATATCTTGATCATATACAGTAATTTTTGTGTCTTTGTCGGTCATGACCTTGCCAAATATCATTTAGAGGACATTTGAAGTTTGCCCAACAAGTATGTGATGAGCTTGGAGTCCTGGCATCATCTGTCAATGGCGTGGATATGGAACTGAAGACGGAAGCAAGTCTCAGAAAAGCTCGTACATTGCTTGCCGCAAATCAGTTCAGTGAGGTTTGATATTTTCAGTACATTGAACTTGTTACCTTGTAAGTAGATTTCGTCCTATAAATGTGTGGCATGCTTTTCTTATTATTTTGGCATTTCATTGCAGGCGGCAGCTGTAGCACACTCACTCTTCTGCATGTGTTACAAATTCAATATGCAAGTTGAAAATGCCAGTGTGCTTCTTTTGCTAGCTGAAATCCACAAGGTACAATTGTACATTTGGTACACAATGTGGTCGGAGGTTCAGGCAGACTAAAGTTTTCATGACTCCTGTCTTCTTATCTATCTGTTTGTCTATTAAAATAGTTCCTGTTCTATATTTCCATGAAGGTAAAATTTCTTTTATTTCTGTTTTCCAGAAATCGGGTAATGCTGTTTTAGGTCTTCCGTATGCATTGGCAAGCCTCTCATTTTGCCAGTCGTTTAATCTGGATCTGCTTAAAGCATCGGCCACACTCACACTAGCTGAGTTGTGGCTCTCACTTGGATCAAGTCATGCAAAAAGGGCCCTGAGCCTTGTACATGGGGCTTTTCCTATGATTCTTGGTCAAGGAGGTTTGGAGCTCCGTGCTCGGGCCTTCATTGTAGAAGCAAAATGCTATCTATCCGATCCAAGCTTTTCCAGTAAGTATATAGAATGCATTTCCTGATAACATGTTTCATTGTCCTTGATTCATGAAGAGTTATCCTTGGCTTTGTGGCTTCATCAAACATATTTTATTTGAAGTCCTAATTAATTTCACATTGCTGTTGCAAATTTGACTCGCCAGTTTCTGAAAGCTCCGATGATGTGCTGGATCCGCTGAGACAAGCCTCGGACGAGCTTCAATTGCTAGAGGTAAATATACTTCCGAGTTTGAGTTTTCTAAAACATATGCTTTTATTGGTTGTGTTTAATGGGAAGAGATCATCTCCGGATCTCTCCCACCTAAGCCTAGGGATCAAGTGATCCGGGCTCTTGAAATTTGATCCAACGGTTACAATTATTATAACTTTTAGAAGGGTCCTCTGTTTTTAGCCGTTGGATCAAATTTCAAGGGCCCGGATCACTTGATCCCTAGGCTTAGGTGGAAGAGATCTGGAGAGAGGATCTCTTCCCGTGTTCAATGGCTATGAAAATGGTTCCCGTGCACAGTATCACGAATTGGCGGCCGAAGCTTTCTATTTAATGGCTATGGTGTTCGACAAACTGAAAAGAGTAGAGGACAGAGAAGACGCTGCGGCTTCGTTTAAGCAACACACTTTGGCTCTTGAGAATCCGCAACATGAGGAAGATCCTCTTATCAACATGTTTTGAAGGTGGATTTATATGTCATCTTGTAAACCAGCCATTTTAAGATGAATTATGATTCATGTAGGCTATAATGTAAGCTTGTATAGGCATGAGGAACTGAGGGAATCTGATTAGGTTGTGTGCTGATCACAGCGTTACATTTAGGTTTGGTCGTATTTTTCATTTCATTTTGAAATATGTGGATTAATGAAAAATATTCTTGTGATCTAGAGTAATATTATTTGGTTCTTTACATGTACGACGACTTCTTACCATTACCAATAAAAAAATTTAATTTATACACACTTGTTAAACAGATTTATCCCGTCAGGATTTAGGTTTAGCTATTCACTTGTAAGCGAAAGATTTTACGTTTGATTCTTGTCAAAGAAAAATTTAAATTATATTATTATTAGGCTTAGTCGACTTCATCGTCTTATCTTTACAGATTAAAAAAAAAAAATTCCCGAAGGGCTATTCTGGCTTTTCACCATTTTAACAATCATAGTTTTCACCGCAAAACAGTCTTCTGACTGGATGAAGTCGAGTCTCAGACGTTAGTACCAGGCCCATGCAAAAGTTCTATAAAGGGCAACCGGATTCTCTTCGCATCCCAATAATCTAAGCCCAAAGATCATTTGATTAAGCTGTTGAAATTTGATCCAACGACTATAATTATTATAACTTTTAAAAAATCTTCTATTTATAATCGTTAGATCAAATTTCAACGATTCGGATCATTTGATCTTTAAGCTCATATTATTAGGATCCGGAAGAGATCCGGTTCATATTGGGATCTACATCTGCCAACGTGTCACGACAATTAGTTAATTCCACCTCTGCCACGTGTCAGATCACCTTCACCTCCAAGTCCACTGTCAGTCACTGCTATATGACCCATCTCATTCACCCCCCGCCGCCACCACCACCACCACCATGACAGCCACGGCAACCAGCAGCACCATGGGCTAGGATAACGACACCCAGTTCAACCTCGTTGGCTTCTCCAACTTCGTACGGACCAACCCCCGATCCGACCGCTTCAAAGTCCACCGCTTCCACCACGTCCAGTTCTGGTGCACCGACGCCACCAATGCCGCCCTCCGATTCTCCTGGGGACTCGGCATGCCCATGGTAGCTAAGTCGGACCTATCCACCGGCAATCAAATCCACGCTTCCTACCTCCTCCGCTCCGACGACCTCGTTTTCCTCTTCACCGCCCCGTACTCACCCACCCTGACCCGAAACGCCGACCCGGCCAGGCCCAGAACCACGGCCTCGATCCCCACCTTCGACCACTCCGCCTCCCGCGCCTTCTCCGCCACCCACGGCCTTGGGGTCCGCGCCGTCGCCATCCAAGTCGAGGACGCCGTCTCCGCCTTCACAGCCAGTGTCGCCCACGGCGCCAAACCCTCGGCGGCCCCCATCCTCCTGGACAACCGCGTCACCATCGCCGAAGTCCAACTGTACGGTGATGTCGTTTTGCGATACGTCAGCTATACGGACCACAACCACCTCACAGACCCGGACCCCCACCTCTGGTTCCTCCCTGGATTCGAATCCCTAACATCGTCGTTCCCAATCGACTTCGGAATCCGCCGCCTCGACCATGCCGTCGGCAACGTGGAGGTTCTCAAATCGGCAGTGTCCTACGTCAAAGGCTTCACCGGATTCCACGAGTTCGCCGAGTTCACCGCCGAGGACTTCGGGACGAGCGAGAGCAGACTCAACTCCGTCGTCTTGGCGAACAACGAGGAGATGGTCCTGTTTCCGATGAACGAGCCGGTGTACGGGACGAAGAGGAAGAGCCAGATTCAGACGTACCTGGAGCACAACGAGGGTGCAGGGGTTCAGCATTTGGCGCTGGTGAGCGAGGAAGCGGGCATTGGACAAAAAGTTCATATATTTTTTGAAAAGTTGATAACTTTATGCTTCTCTGTGTATTTCATGATTCAATTCTTGGTGGGGGAATATGGTTTATCATGATTCTGTCAAACTATATGCCTGTCGAGTTGGCTTTTTAGTGTTTAGCTTCGATTTTAGTCCTTTCAATTCGAGTCTTGTAAATCTTTGTCCTTTGAGAGAAATATCGAAAAGTGGTCATTCGGAGTAATGTTTTGAAGCTTATGCCTTTGTGTGTGAAAAGGAAAAATTGATCACAAATATATTAATAATGCAAATCGCGTTTCCCCTGCTGTATCTATCGTCGGATGATTGGTTCTTGTATAAAATGGGCAGGCCAACCATATTCGTAGAGATCATTCAGAGAGTGGGGTGCATGCTTAAGGATGAAGAAGGAAAGATACACCAGAAGGGTGGATGTGGTGGGTTCGGGAAGGGTAACTTCTCCGAGCTCTTCAAGTCCATCGAGGAATACGAGAAGACGCTTGAAGCCAAACAGATCGCTGAGCCAGCTGATGCGTGATTCGCCTTTGTCTTAGATACTGTAAAATAAGGTAGTTGCTGAACCCAGGTTCGTTGTACTCTACTCATTGTAAGGCTGTTGTATACGTAGTGTTACTGTGTATAACAAGCTGTATGGCTGTCACTGTTGGTGCCTATTGATTTATGCACAATGACACAAATTTTAGTGCTTTATTATATTTGTCGAGTGCAATCATCAATCACCGACCTGTTGCACCCTCGACATGCTTGTAATAACCAACTTTAGCGAGGAATAAAGATCGAAATATTCACTCTTGTACTGTAATCTTGTGTTCTTGTTTTTCTTAATGTTGTTGAACCGTGTACAACTTTGGTAATTCCGTTCTTTTATTTTCAACCAGATCGGTTGTTTGGAGCTAGAAATAATTGAATCTTCACTTGTACATTTTCTATACTAGGCTTCCAGATGGAGGTGGGTGGTGAGAGCAGTTGTTTCCCGTCATTCATGAAATTGTTTGATAGATTATCATAGATTGCGATGTTGAAACAAACTGATCGTGATAAGTGTAGCGGAAATTTCAATAGCTTAATCTAGATACACGTTTGGTGACTAATTTAGGTCATTCTTGTTAGAGAATTGAGACTGCAGTTCGTTTCGGCTGACGAAAATGCAGTGTGGATGTTCGAGTTATGGTGACTAGCAGGAAGTAGCATGCTGTTTGAAGTTTCAAACTATATGCCATTGCTGTGGATTTTCAGGCAGAACTTTAACTGGTCATTCAAAACACCAACTCACTGATCCCGGTTCAAACCCAAAACTCGGTATTACAGGGGATGGGGATTGTAGTTACCCGTGTGAGATGAGTCTCCAGCACGGAAGGATGAAAACGTTGGAAACATTTGGCTTTGATTCAGCAATGTGCTTGCCTTAATTTTACAAATTACACTTGGAACAAACATCAAATTAAAGGAACTTTGCTAGAGAAGTTTTGAGTGCATATTCTGAGATGATTCGATTGGTTTTCTCAGAAGGATGGAAGGCATCCCAAAACACGTATTTATTTGCATCCTGACAAGTAAATGGATTGAACTGATCGCAGAGGAAACTCATCTCAAATGTTCCTGTGCCGCAGCATCCCACTCGTGCTTCCTCCAATCCTGTCATCCAGAAGAGAACACACCTTAAACCCAGAAGATTTACTGGACAAAATTAGAGAAAAAGGAAGCTAAACACTCGCAAGTTTTCTTTTCTCCAGATGAGGGTTGGACAAAGAAAACCTATTTAATTTATTAATTTTAAAATTGCAGAGAGAAATGAAACGGATAAGTTTTTTGCTTTAACGTCGTGCAAACCGATTCTATTTGAGCATATTTTTCCAATTTTGTAGTTCTAAGTTGCTTTAATAGGAAATATGCGCAAATAGAGTTAGTTACAAACTTTTAATAAAACAAACACTAAATAGGCTTAATTGTTTGTGTGCTATCATTTTAGCACTATTTTTTTGTTAAACGTTTTTTACCGGTCTATTAAATCATGATATAAAATAGTGGTTTTTCACATATTAGTCCTTTGATAACATTACAGTAAATAGAAAAATATTTCAAACTAAATACTTTAAAGAAAAACCTAATTGACATCGTAACGTGCACAAGAGTAATTTCTCAACTGAAAATCAATTAAAACATAATAAGTGGATAGATGAGAGGTTTTGTTTTTCTCGAATTGAGTTCTTGACGTATTTTTGCATAAAGCTTATAACTGCTAGAGTATTTTTCTAATATCTACTAATTAATAAAACACTTATTGTCAACCAAAATTATATGAAATTACCAATTTAACCCTCTAATTAAAATATGGGGTAGAAATGTAATTTCACACAACCAAATTTTGCCTTTTTTTTTTCTTTCAAAACTTCACCTACATATTAAAAAAAAAAAAAACACTTCCTACTCCCACATTCTCTATCACTCTCTTCCTCTCTCATTCTATTTCAAAAACAAAAATAAATTTTTTTATCACACTTTGTATGTACCCATATGCTAGTTTACTATTAAAATAACACTTGCCGACATGTAGAAGTCAAAATCAACTATCTTTTCAACGGAGTTCAGAGTTAAAATTTTGGGGCCGTAGAATCAATACTTAGAGCATTAATCAAGTTAAAGACTTACCAAATGCAGAAGGCCTTTTTATGATTTGCAAGAAAATGTAATAAACATCTGAAAACATCAAATCAAGCCCCGGAAGCTCCTCATTCAGCTTTGCCACCAAACCCTTCAACTTGCCATTAAACTCCAAAGCTAAGTTGTTGCGTTCCTCCACACATGAATTTTGCCCCATAATATTTGTGGTCCTCTCCAATGGCAAACACCCCATTGGAGGAAGCCCCGCGAGCGATATCTTCCGAGCTCCTAGAACGTATAGTTTCTTCAGAAAATCTGCGGCAAGATCGATCAGGAAATCTTCGTACTGTTTCACGGTGAACTGGGACTGCCGGTTCGGGAGTGTAAAATAGTTTTCAAGGAAGTCATTTGTTCCTATGCTGATCAAATATAATGCCTCGCTTAGTAGCTTCTTTGCATTCCTAACTCCAAGATAGGCTTTTAGTTTCTTTTGGTATTCCTTGTAGTACTCCACTTCTTTCCACAGTGGAATCACTTGCTGCATTAAACACAAAAAAATGATGAGATATTTAGCCTAACATGTTTAAATATTCATCAACATAAATTAGTTAATGCAAGGGGCATGCAACTCAGTTGGTTACAAGCATACAACACTGCATTTGAGGTTTTGCGTTCGACTTTCTCTCTCCCAGCAGTATCACTCGTATAAATAAAATATGAGTTGGTTGATTACTTACTACAACATCAGAAGTAGCATTATCATAGCCAGTTCCTGCAGAAGCGAAGCAAACACCAGTGGCAAAATCTGATATGTTGTGAGTTGGATCTAAGTAGGCAGGTATAATTGGCTTGCAGCCTAGACCTTCGGAGATGAAGTCAGGAGGAATCCGGCCATTGCAGAACCGCCCGGTGGGCTGGCCTCCCGGAAAATCTTGACCATAAGGCTGGAAGTTGCTCCTGGCAATTGTAGGAATGAAGTTGTTGTTACCTGAATCAACAGAAGAATCTCCAAATACTATGACTGCTGGAACTTTAGCTCTACATTTGGCAACAAGGGTTAGGGTATGAACTAAGAAAAGCCAGGGAATATACAAGTTTGCCATGTTGCTTTGTAACTGTATGGTTTCCCTTTGCAAGCTCACAATTGGATGGAAATATGTGAAATGAGAATAACTAGATTGGTGGGAGATATTAGTTTATTTTATTAATTGCTCATTTATTTCATGGAATAATAGAGAACGTGGATATAATCGAGCAACTTCTCATTCAGTGACGACACATATTTGACCATTAAATCAGTTTAAACTCTTGAATTAAATTCAATGATCAAATAAGTGTCGACACTGAGTTCGTAAGTACGAAAGTACTTATTAAGAGAAATCGATAATTGAGAAAGTTTGGTGAGGGGTTCTCATTATTATGGCAGTAGAAAGCTTGGCATGTACCAGCATTATGGGGTTAGGATTAACCAAAATGGGTTACAATTCAATATGCCTAGGTTCCTGAAATCATAAAATTTTGATGAAAAGTAAGGAGTAAAAAGTGGGAAGACCCCATTAAAAACCAACAAATGGAAAGTTTTGGCACCAAAAAATGAGATGAGTTGCTTGTGTGATTGTTAGTAATGGTAATGCTATAAATGTAGTAGATGGAGGTTGTCAGGTTATTGGAATGCTTCTATGTGAATTCAATTCTCCATTCCTGTTCCTGAGGAAAAGATAGAAAAATCTTCCCGCACTACTTGTTACCAAAAAATAAAAAGGAAAAAAAAACAATGATGCAGCTGGTAAGTTGAAGACAAAATGACCGAGCTGTGCACCAAGGAGGATTTAAAATTTTAGAACCCTACTGAGAGAGAGAGAGAGAGAGAGAGAGAGAGAGAGAGAGAGAGAGAGTACTTGGAGAGCAAGATATATCTGAATTGTATAGAATGTATTTCATCATCCTTAACTGTTTCCTTACAAGGGTTATTTATATTGTCTAAGATAGCTTCCTAACTAAGCTATCTTCTAACAACCTTATAACTGCAAGACTAATCTATTGACATTTGGCAACATCTTAGCCATTCACTTAATACTCCTAACAATGATTTCCAAATTTTAGGGATATAAAACTGATGTATATATCCTGTATTTGAATTTTCATGCACAATTCAAGTGGAGATTCTAGCATACAATCGGGCATATATCGCTATTTTTTTCTATTTTTTATCATGTAACGTGACAAAGTTAAGTGAAATGTAAAAATATGAGGATATATTGCGGAGACACCTAAAAATCTGCCTAATTTGAGAAACAGTAATTTTCAAAGACCAGCAAACTTCTACGACTTTGCATATTTTGTGGCCCATAATTAAGAGGTATTAAAGACATTAAAAGCTTCCCAATCGGATAAGTGCTTTGGTTGGTACCCATTTATGAGGAATGCTGTCATCCCTTCATGTAGAATGATCGATCTTGCTCTCGGAAGAACACAGTTGGCTCAGCTTTAATAGGTGGTTGCAGGGGTATGCTATCAAAATTTTGACTCATGATTTCACCTTTCTTTCATTAGAGAGGGTCAATTTGACAAGATGATTGGTTGTTTTTTCTTTTTGAACAAACGATATTATCTACATTAAAAGGGTGGGAGAGTGGGCTAAGCCTCACAAGGTTAGCAATAATATGGTTGAAATTTGCCTAGCTATGTTAAGAATCGAACATAAGACTTCTCACTTATAAGTGAAGAGGAATACCATTAGACTGTAATATTAAGTAGCAAATGATCATTTGCTATAATAACCAAAAGTTCAAAAAAGGTAAAATAAAAAGGAACCATATATATCTTGTATTTTACCACTGAACACCAGTACTAATGAGTGTTGTGGTTACTTGTCGTATGATTAGAGAGATACTTGGTAACTATGAAATGAAAATATCAATGCTCCAAAAGGGTGAAAATATACACATGTACAAGTAGGTATATATGTATCTACATACACATATTTTTTGGGTATTCACTACCAGTTAACCAGGGCGGCCGGCCTTGAGAAAATGGGGGCCCTAGGCGAGCCTTCGAGTGAGGCCCCTAAAGTTTTTACCCAACTCATTGTACATTTGTATGTATAAGAAAATGTTTCGTTAAATACATGAAAAAGTTCATTTCTACATAAAAAATCATTAGAATTCATATCCAAAGAAGAAAGATATGCAAACATTACTTAAATATTACACGTCTCACGTTTTTA